GGGCACACCCCCCGGCGGCGCCTGACCCGGCCGGCTCAGCTCTCCGCTCGCTCTGCTCTCCGCAGGGAAGAGCCTGAAGACGCTGGTGTCCAGGGGCATCCTGCAGGTGCACCCGCCCATCTGCGACTGCCCGGGCTGCCGGATCTCCTCCCCCGTGGTGAGTGGCGCTTGTGCTTGTTGGCCAAGGAGGTCGGTCCTGACCCCAGGCCTGCCCAGTGCAGGGCGACTCCCAAGGGGGAGGGGGGGAGCTTGGTGGGAGTTTGGGGGCCGGAGTTCTGCCCCTCGGACCAGGCCCCACCCACCCTGGGCCCCCTTCTGTGAGGAGGTTCACGGTGCCCTGCCCTGCCCTGCCCTGCCCTGCCCTGCCCGGGCTAAGGGGCCGGGGCTGGCTGGCTCCGCCTGGGCGCGAGTTCTGTGGCCCTGGCCGCCTTCCCAGCTCGCAAGGCGTCTCTGGGGGGCCGAAGCCCGGAGCCCTGCCTGGCCAGCAGCCCTGCCGGGTCTGGTGTGAAGAGACTGGAGTGGAGGGAGGACTCCGGTGACCGGCCCCTGCCCCCGCACCACTCCAGCCTGCCCGAGGGCCCTGTCAAGGCCCTCAGGCCCACGGGCCAGGCTCTGGGCTGAGCAGAACCAAGCTGGAGCCGGGAAGGGCCCAGGGCAGCCTCGGCTCCAGGTGGAGCTTGGGGAGGCGGGGCAGTGACACCCCCCCCACACACAGAAGGTCACCGAGGCACCAAGGGGGTAGAGCCAGAGACACCCCAGCCTGTTCGTGTTGGCGGGGGGCGTCGTGGGGACATCCTGACCTCCTCAGGTAGCCTGGCCAAGGCCGGAAGCCCGGGCCTCGGCCGTGAGGACACACATGGAGCCTGCCCTCCCGCCCCCCACACCCCTCTGACCAAGGCCCCACACCCACAGGCTTGAGTGACCGGGCTGCGTGCCCCAGCTGCCCGTCTGAACTGCCCCCAGGGGACAGAGCCGGCCAGGGAGTCTCGGCTGGGGCCACAGAGCAAGGCCTTCTGCTCTGGCAGGCCAGACCCCCGCCCCGCCCGGCCCCCCCGGGGGCCCAGGCAGATCCTGAGAGGGTTTCTGGGGGCAGCTCCCAGACCCTGGTGGGGAGAAGACTGGGGCTCCCAGCCCTGTCGGGGTGCTGCCGGAGTCTGGGCTGGGGTGGTCCTGGGTGCAGAGGACAGGAGCAGGGCCCTGAAGGCCGGGAGGCCACAGCTCGCCCTCCTGGTTGGGGCCCAGTGAGGGGCTGCAGGGACAGAGCCCGGCTGGCCCAGCGCCACCAGCGGAGGCTGGCTAGGGTGTTCCCAGCGGGAAGGGGCTGCCTGCGACAGCCAGGACGGGGAGCCCGCGGTGCCCAGGGCCCCTGAAGCTGGGCGGCAGGGCCACCTGTAGGCGGGTGTCCCCACTCTCGGGCAGGATGCCCCAGGTGGCATCCTGCTGGTCCTGGTGCCCGGGGGCCCGAGTGCCCAAGGCCAGGAGCGCCTGTGGCCGGGCCCGGGAGCCCGACCTCCCTGTCCTCCCGCCCGCCCAGAACCGGGGACGGCTGGCAGACAGGAGGACGGTGGCTCTGCCCCCCGCGCGGGCCCTCAAGAGGGAGCTGACCCCCAGCTTCTCTGCCGGCGATGGCGGCCGCGACGGGAGCGGCTCGGCCTGCGGGCGGCCGGGCCTGAAGC